GTTGAGATGCATTTTGGTCAGTCAAAAAAGCTGCCTAAAGGTGTCGCTGCTGTGGTTTCACACGTGCTGAAAAGATATCTCGAGTCAGTTTGTTTGTCATTTGTATATTTACATTTCCAGAAGACGATCCATCATCATGGCGACTGAGATCCTTTCCGACTCGGGAATCCGCGCCGACGGTCGCAAGTGCGGCGAAATTCGCCAAGTGAACTGCAAGCTGGGCGTTTTTGACCAGGCCGATGGATCGGCGTACTTTGAGATTGGAAACACACGCGTCCTCGCCGCTGTCTACGGGCCGCATGAGATCAGCGAAGGGAACAAGAGCAAATCGGCCCACGATCGCGCCATTGTCAACTGTCAGTACTCGATGGCCACCTTCAGCACCTCGGAGCGGAAGAACCGACCCCGCGGCGACTACCGCTCGCTGGAGATCAACGCCTACCTCAGTGAGATCTTCGAGACGTCGATCATCACCGAGCTGTATCCGCACTCTCAGATTGACATCTACCTGGAGGTGCTGCAGTCGGACGGCAGCGGCTACAGTGCCTGCGTCAATGCCGCCTCCCTGGCGCTCATTCACGCCGGCATTCCCGTGAAGGACATCGTCTGCTCCTGCTCGGCGGGCTACTTCAACAGCATCCCACTGGTGGACCTGAACCACGTCGAGGAGTCCGTCAACGCCATTCCCACCATCTGCATTGCCCTCCTGCCCAAGTCGAAGCAGACCATCTCCATCGAGGCGAGTGGCCGCATCAACGTTAGCTCACTGGAGAAGCTCACCAAGGCGGTCACTGATGGCTGTGAACAGGTGCTCACTGTCATGAAAGGCGTCATTTCCAGTCACATTAAAGAGCTGAATGTTTAAGAGTTTTCATATTTTATAAAATATACGACGTGTATTCACATTTCATTTGGGAGAAAATGGGTGNTGAAAGGCGTCATTTCCAGTCACATTAAAGAGCTAAATGTTTAAGTGTTTTCATATTTTGTAAAATATACGACGTGTATTCACATTTCAATTTGGAGAAAATGGGTAGAAATAATAGTTTAGCGATGAGAACTTTAAAATATCCGCTATTTCTTCTCCTTTTCCTTCTTGGCAGCCTCAGCCTTCTTGGCCTCCTCCTCTTCGTAAGCTTTGATGTATTTCTCAATTTCTTTCTGCGGCAAAATCTTGATCTTTGTCTGGCCGTTATCTCGGGTAAGGGTGGCGATTTCCACTGAAAGTTAAAGGGCAAAAGTAAGATTTGATTTGAAAGGACAATTATCACATTACGCTTACATTTGTCACCAGTCAGCTTTGTGGTGTCCAGGGTTTTGCTTAGCACCTTGACGGTGAGTGCGAGAGCCTGCTCCAGATTGGTTTCGTTTTCCTTGTACTCTTGTTTGAGCAGAGACACAGCGGCACTGCTGTTGTTGCCGATGCAAGTGGCCTTCCAGCCGGAGTAGTTACCACTGGGGTCAGACTGATACAGCTGGAAACCGTAGTGCTTGTCCCAGCCCATGTAGAGGATCGACACGCCAAAGGGGCGCTTACCGCCGTACTGTGTGTAGGCCTGTTTGATGTCGCACAGCCAGCTCACCAGACGTTCACAGGGGATACTCTCGCCGTACTGAAGCAGGTGACGCTGAGCGATCAGTCGCAGTTCATTGGTCAGAACATTGGCGTCCGAAGTGATTCCGGCAACGCTGCAAGCCATGTCACTGTTGTGAACGAAGGCAGTCAATTAATAACATCCTCTTCTGTTTCAACCAAAGTGAATAAGAAAAACTTACTTGTGAAGTTTGTAAATCTTCTCTGAAGTAAACACTTCATCCAGGAGTTTGTTGGTGTTGCGCTTCTCAGCTGCCAAAACGATTCCGTCACTGGCGAGGATGCCTAGGCAAGTGCCGGCATGGCCAATCGCCTCCATGGCGTACTCCACCTGGTACAGTCGCCCTAAAGAAGCAAATTAGTGAGCATACTTCGGTGACAAAAACAAACAAATGACAAGTACCTTCTGGCGAGAAAATTGTCGTACGCGAATCATAACGACGAGCCTGTCAGGGAAAGCCACAAGAGTTAAACTTAATGATCTTCAGATTAGAATATTCATCTTACCATTATGACAGTTTCGGGTGTAGATCACTGGAGAAGATGTACAAAAGACCAATTGTCAACAGTGATGTTTGGTGGTGGAGTGATAGAGCGCCGGCTGTGATTCAGCAAGAAACACAATTTTTCTCTCTTCTGCAGTACTATTTTGCGCCGCGTCGGCTGCGAGTAGAAATAGTGGCTCATTCAAAATTATTTTTTGGAAAAATCCAAAATAATCAGTTTTTAATGGCAAAATTAAATTGCAATTTGAATGAGAAAAAGCTGACAAAAGATCGTGCATAAAAGCAAAATAGCTTCCGAAGAGGCCTAGGCAAAGTAAGGATTGCCCTTAAGGGCGTTGTACTTTGGACGAGCGGCCGGGTCCTTCGCCGAGGTGGCCTCGACTAGAGCGCGTCCCGGGTCACTGGAGGCAAAGTTGCCCAGCTCGACGTGGCCAATCTTCTTCTGGCGGTGCTTCTTCTTCATGTCGCTAGTGGCGGCGTAGAGGAGGTAGCCGAAGCAGTAGACGTCCACCGGAGCCGGGTCGAAGCGGTCCTCGAGGTAGCACTCGGTGGGCAGAAACTCCTTGCGACGGTCAACCTTGGGAATCTTGAAGAAGGTCTCCGTGTCGGCGTTGAAGTAGTGCTCAGCATAGCCGAGACCGGCGATCTTCGTGGTGGCGCCGTCATCAGCGAAGAGGATGCTCTCGCCGCGCAGATTGAGGTGGGCAATGGCTCGGTCGTGCATGTACACGAGGCCCTCCAGCACCTGACGCATCGCCTCCTTCAGCTGCTTCTCCTTCAGTTGGCCTGACTTGGCCTTCGTTTCCAGACTGACAGTGCTCACCTCCGCCATGAAGCAGTAGGTCTTCTGCGAGGCGATGAAGAAGTAGTGCAAAGCGATGAAAGCACTGTGACGAGGTTTGCCGCCCTCGCCGCCGTTCATCAGGTAGGCGGCCACCTTGGAGCACTTGCCGATGTTGTTGCGGTACTGGGCAGTGCGGTCCTGCAGAACGACAATCTTGACGACGCCGTCGCCGCGCTGCGACTTGGCGCGGTAGAGAATGTACTCGCCACTGGTGATGAGCGCCTGCTTCTTTATGGTGATGCCCATGCGGGACATAGCCTCCTCGTCGGCGATGGTCGTCGTCGCGGGGAAGCTCTTGAAGGCGACCAGTTCCTTCTTGAGGAACTGACGACGGTCCGCCTCTGCCTCGTCATAGTTCGGATCTTTCAGGGCCGTCTCGATGGCCTTGATGTCCGCCTGGAACTGCTCATTGCGCATCTCCATCTGCTTACGGTGGAAAGCATTCATGTCGTCAATCTTCTTCTGCAGCTCAGCAGTCTTGTTCTTGATCATCTGCTCAATGTCTGCCTCAGTTTTGGCAGTCAGCTTCTGAATCTCCTCCTCGCACTTCTCCCAGAGGAGTTTGCTCTTCTCCTTGAACTGAGCATCGATGGCCATCTTCTGGCGAGCGATCTCCGCCTCGATGCGCACTTTGCTCAGCTTGAGGTTGTCCTTGTGATGCAACTCCATCTTCTTTGCCTTCTCCTCAATGTGGGCGTCAAACTTTTGACGGCGCTCTTCCTCTTCGGCGAGAAAGTTCTTCAGCGCATCGTCGTACTCGCCGGGCTTCAATTCAGCATTACTCATGATTGATACGAGAGATTGGCTACAGATAACAGTTTACAATTTAGCAATAGCAATTCAACACAACTCGTTTGGTGAAAAACATGACGACCAAGTGAAACGATTTTATAGAGAAGCATAAAGTTCGAAAAAACGCTTGACTACGCAGCATTAAAAAGTTAACGGCTTTTTATTACTAATAAAAAATAATGTTATTTACAGAGATCATTCCCATGTATCAGAATGAAGGAACCCTAAAAAAGCGAATGCAATAATACTAATAGAAAACAAGACTGTAGCATTTGGCAGAAGCTGAGCATAACGGGACTGTGTTGGGTGTGTGTGAGAGAGTGTGTTGAAAAGTTCAGTTGGCGATGTAGCTGAGAATCCACTGCTTAAACTTGGATATCCTTGTGCAGACGCCCGGCAGTGAGGGCTCGCCGCAGCCAATGCCCCAGCTGATGATGCCCGCCAGGAACCACCTTCCATCTTCTCCCTGAACCTGTAGAGGCCCACCAGAGTCACCCTGCTCAAGTGTAAATGGCAGCTTTTCTAAATGAGAAGTGAATGCCAACAAAATGGAAGCAAAACTTGCCTGACAGGAATCGCGCCCACCCTCATCGTAGCCAGCGCACATGAAAATGTCCGGTATGATTTCGTGTCTGCCCGCAGACAGAAACATGTTCTTGCACTTGTCATTGCTCACTATGGGCACACGAACTTCCTGCAGAACAGTTGGCAGAACGCCGCCTAAAAGACAGATTGTGATAGTAGTCACCGCTTGCCGGCAAACTCAAAGTTCACTTTCCATTTCACTTACCTTCAGTGAGCCGTCCCCAGCCAGTGGCAGTGCCATTCTTGCCCAGCAGATTCACCCCGTCAGGCGGCAGACAGATTGCGGAGATGTGCGGCAGAAAGTCAATGGGCGCATCGAGCTGCACCAGGGCGAGGTCATTTTCGTAGGTAAAAAAGTTGTACTTTGGGTGGACAATCTTCTTCTTGGCGCCCCGTTCAATGTGCGGCAGCGGCTCCATGGCGCTGCTAAAGTCGTACTCGCCCACGCGAATGCGAATCTGGGTTAGAAGTAGGCTACAGTGTGGAAGAGAGGGGAAATTATGAATAGTAATGCTAACAAATCCTTACTACGTACTCATCGACGCAGTGACCAGCCGTGGCAATCCACTGGTTGTTGAGAATCGCCCCGCCACAACGATGCGTACTGGAGAAGCCGAAAAAATGCGTTCGCCTAACAGACACCTGCAGAAAAAGAAGAAAAAGAAGAAAGGGAAGAACAAATTAAAGACATCAAATCAGCGGTGGTCGATGCACCCAAACAGACAGTCAGTGCCGGATTTGGCCGACACTAAACACTGAGAGCGGGGGAAAAAGAAAGGGAGACAATACCTGCCATGGCCACGCACCAAATGCGGAATTCTTCCCACCGACGACTTTAGTCTTGGGTCGCAGTTGAGTGACTCCACAGCTAGCTGCAAAAAAAAAGAAGACAGAGAGTGAACAGTGAGAAGGGCAGCAGCAGATGAATGCCTCAATCAGCGCAATCACCGCAACAGTGGCCATACGGAGTAGGCCACCATTGCACTACTGCGACTTGGCTGGTATTGTCACCAATCAGTTAGCTTTTAATAAGTATTACACTTGGCCGCACTCGGCGTGCTCGGTCGTTTCACTGCCTCGCCCACTTCAGCAGTGGACGGTGGTTGAGGGTGGAAAACGTCCGATGATGATGATGATGATGCTGGTGATTGGGCTGGTGGTGGTGGGCGATCTGACGTCTGCACACTGTTGGCACTGGTGGTCGTGGTGGTACTTGTTGTCGTCGGTATCTTACTGCTCGTCTCACTCGACAGTGAGCCAGAAGTGGAGGTCCAGTCAAAGGTGGCCGGTGGCTCTGGTGGTGATTGTGGTGGTGGGGCTGGTGCTGCTGCCTGCTGTACAGTGGGCCTGAATGTGGGCCTGATCTGAGTGACGTTCTTGTTGGGAATGTGGGAGAGCAGTGGCAGATGGGCTGATGGCGGTTTGCTGGTCGGCAAAACAAAGGAGTGGATGGCACTTGGTCGTGAAGTGCTCATGATGGGCCTGTTTCCTGGAGGATTAATTGTGAAGAGGTCAAACTGGGAAAGTTATAGTCAGATAGTGTACCTGGGTAGATGTACCACGGACGCTGACTGGTGGCCGGCTTGTGAAAGCCTGGAACGCCAAAAGAAGGCGAAGAGGACCACACTGAACTGCTGCCATTGTGCTGCTGAGGTCGGTACGGCCTTTTAGTGGTCGTCGATGTCGTCGAAGTTGTCGTTCGAAGCGTCACCGGTGTCGTCACTGGAGCCACGGTCGTTGTTGTTGTTGTTGTGGCTTTTGATGCGACAACTGTCAGCGATGTTGTTGCCGACTGTGGTTTCCATTTGTTCTTGTGCCTGTCTTTGATCGTAATAGTGCTGCTAGTCACCGTTGAGGTGGTCTGCACGGAAGGAGTCGTCTGGAACTCAGTGGGCTCTGCCGCATGGTCGACACTGTTGTCTGTGTCATTGTGGCCGCAGCAGCTGCCAAAGAGAAAGCCATCGACACAGGTGCCCAGGTGTTTGCCTTCCGTTTTAATGCACTCCCAGACGAACATGCAGGTGCCTTCTTCACCGATGGCATTGGCGCACTGTTTTGGTCTAATCTTCATTGGCTCACCTGTTCAGTGTGTTTAATGTCAACTGTCAGATATTGCACAAATGAGCTCACCATTAGTCAGCTGTGAACATACCGAACATGAGCGAGATCATCGATGAGAGGCAAAGTATGAAAATGAAAGCATTTTGGCGAACACAGGCAACAGTGGAGCTCATCGTGGCGGCGAAGAGGCGAACACTGAGCGCAGTGCGTTGAAGAACAAGAGCGAATATATGTGGTAATGAGCGAATAATAAAACTAACTAATGATTAGGATGAAGCGTGGAACTGTGTCACATGGCGGCCACCGGTTTGGTTGATGATCACAGACCCTGGGCAGAAAGCAAAAGCTGAAGAACACCAGCTGAGTGTGTGTGTGCTGTTCGAAATGTTATGTTCCGAAAGTGTGACTGATGTGAGTGTGTGTGTGTGTCGAAGTGCAGTGGCACTTTCGACGATGTGTTCACTGCGACGACGGTGATGGATTTTGAATTGAAGTGCCTTCCACCGTCCAACTCTAATGTCAGTGGCCTGTGGAAGCTCGCGCGCCAGAGGACNCTGTTCGAAATGTTATGTTCCGAAAGTGTGACTGATGTGAGTGTGTGTGTCGAAGTGCAGTGGCACTTTCGACGATGTGTTCACTGCGACGACGGTGATGGACTTTGAATTGAAGTGCCTTCCACCGTCCAACTCTAATGTCAGTGGCCTGTGGAAGCTCGCGCGCCAGAGGACACACTCTGGCTCTGTGTAACGGTGTGCACTGAGAGAATGAGAGAAAGAGAAGAGAGAGAAAACGCGATGGGATATCTGCGGTAAGGCGCGTAATAATTCTGCTAATTTTAGATTGACATCGAGTTCGCCTGTCGGACTGAAGAAGAAGGCAAAAAAGAAGTAGCCACCACACTTCTCGCCTCTGTAAGAGTGTGTTNAATTTTAGATTGACATCGAGTTCGCCTGTCGGACTGAAGAAGAAGGCAAAGAAGAAGTAGCCACCACACTTCTCGCCTCTGTCAGAGTGTGTGTGTGAGTGAGTGTGAGTGTGTGAGACTTTGACAGCGAATGTCGAGAGAGAAAACGACGTGTAGAGAAGCGGCAGATCTAAATTACCGACGACGACGACGAAAAGACGGTGGCTCGACAGTAGTGCAGACATCGGTGTGGTGCTATCGAGCTTGACCGACTTTACCTGCTGCCCCTGAATCACATCTAATCATAATGCGATCCGGTTATAGCTCTCGCTCTTCTCTCTTTCTCTTTCTCACTCTCTGCCCCCTCTTGCGACGACAGGCCATGGCCGAAAAAACACAGTGGCACTGACATCCTGGCACCTTATCTGCATCGGCCAGATGACATCTGATTTCCACTGGGGAAAAAGTAGAGTGTAGACAGGGGCAGAGAAGAAGACAGGCAAACAGACAGACAAACACGGACGGGCACTTTTAGGAGGGGGCAGTAAGAGCAGTGCTGCTGACCGTCGGTCTGCCTCATCCTCCAGCGAGATGGACGCCAATTTGTCTGGCACCGACTTGCTAAAAGTACACACACACAACCACCTGGGCTGTGTGCACTTATCTTTGCCGGATAATAATAGTGCGTCACTTAACAGTGGACAGCAGTCCAATCACATCTCATCAGTGTTGTCATCTCAGACAATGGGCAATCTAGGCCACTGCTGTTTTCCCCCACATCGATTAAGGCTGACCGCCATCAGCAGCAGAAGAAGCACTACTGACCGAGTGCCCCTTAGCGCACGTGTGCATTCTGTAAATAGCATTGTTGTGTTTTCAGTCTCGGTTAGCAACAACAGCAGCACTGACAAGTGATTCACCAGATGGGAAAGTGGGCAAGTCATCCCTCTCCTCCTCCTCCTCCTCCTCCTCTACTGCACCTTTGCACGAAGGGTGCACTCGCCGATGCCGCTGTAGCTTGGGCGCCAGTTGACGGAGACAGTGACGGTCGCTTTAGTAATGAATACAGCCTGGCTGGCTGGCTGGCTTTGGTGTGCAAGCCTCGACCACCGACACTGACAGTAGGCAATTTGCACCGTAAAGCCAGCAGCTGTGCAGGCAATCAGAGCTCCTCTCGGTGTGCCTGCACGAGCTAAACAACACTGCAGATTTCTCCTCTTCTCGGCTGCTGCTGCTGCATCAATCTCTCCCTTCACTGCTGACCTCGCCTGATCGAGAGAGTTCCACTCACTTGTTGCCTCGAACACAAGTACCACCGCTACTATCCACCACTGTCATGGCCAGCACCGACTTTCCCAAGCTGACCAACGACCTGATTCTGCAGGCGGCCCTGGGCGAGAAGACGAGCCACGTGCCGGTGTGGGTGATGCGCCAGGCGGGTCGGTACCTGCCCGAGTTTCGCAACCTCCGCCAGCACCACAGCTTCTTCGACATCTGCCGCACACCGGAGCTGGCGTGCGAGGCCACCCTCATGCCCATTCGTCGCTTTGACCTGGACGCGGCTATCATCTTCTCCGACATTCTCGTCATTCCACAGGCGCTCGGCATCGACGTTAAGATGGTGGAGAGCGTCGGCCCGGTCCTGGAGGCGCTCAAGTCGCCCGCCGAGGTGAAGAGCCGTGTGAAGGCGGACAGTGACATCGACCAGGAGCTAGATTACGTCTACAAGGCCATCACCCTGACCCGACACTCGCTGCAGGGCAAGGTGCCGCTGATCGGTTTTGCCGGCGCCCCATTCACCCTCATGGCGTACATGGTCGAGGGACAGGGCTCAAAGACACTCTCCAAGGTGAAGAAGTGGCTGTACCAGAACCCCGTCGAAAGCCACCAACTGCTGGACATTCTCACCGGTGCCGTGATCACCTTCCTCACCTCGCAAGTGCGTGCCGGTGCCCAGATGCTGCAGGTCTTCGATTCGAACGCCGGCTTCCTCGGACCAACCCAGTTTGATGAGTTCTCTCTGCCGTACCTGATCAAGATCGGCAATGGAGTGCGGGAGAATCTGCGCAAGGAGGGCCTGTCCGAAGTGCCAATGACCGTTTTCGCCAAGGACGCCCACTACGCTCTGGAGAAGCTGTCCGACCGCCAGCACACCGGCTACGACGTCGTCAGCCTCGACTGGACCATCGAAGCGGAGGTGGCCCGAGCCAAGGCCGCCGGTCGTGTGACTCTGCAGGGCAACCTGGACCCCTGCGCGCTGTACTCGAACCAGGATGACCTCGACTACCTGGTCGAGCAGATGGTCACCCAGTTTGGCACCCATCGCTTCATTGCCAACCTCGGTCATGGCATCTACCCGGACATGACACCGGAAAGCGTCAACACCTTTGTCAATGCTGTTCACAAGCACTCCAGACGGCTCAATGGTCATAAGAACAGCGTCTGAAGACACGTTTTGTTTGATCTTTTGTTTATACAAATTGAGACGGTAATTCAAAAATACACATTCTGGGGCGACTTAAAGCGTAGTTAAACAGGTGATAGGTCGTTTTCAGTAGATTGGTCGGTGGTACGGGTGCACGATTATTTGCTTGGTACCGGGAGGCAGCGTCACGCCATTTGGCAACTTCACCGGCTCCGTCGCCTCCAGAAAAGTCATCCTCGGTCGTGGCGGAGGAGGTGCAGGCGGTGGTGACTCTCGCCCCCGTAGACCGTTTACCCTCGAGCTTTTCACCTCAAAGCAGGTAAAGAAATCAGTTGACAGGCTCGAAGAAGTCGAGTTTGTGGTGATCACATTGATTGGACTCAGTTCAGATTCTTCCTCCATATAGCTGTTCATACCATCAGCTTTCTGCTCTTCTTTCTCCGTTTTGATCTTTTGGGTAGTGGGAGACACCTGTGTAATATAAAATGATTATTAGATGACAATTAAAATGATTCCGCCTATGCGTACCTGATACTCTGAACTAAACTCCTCCATTAGCTCTTCTTTTACTTCCTGTTTTATTCTCCCTTTTGATGACTCGTCAGTTGGCTTCTTAAAAAGGCCGCATTTATTCGTTTCCAGTAGTTTGTAACCACGTGAACTAGCCCAACTGGTCAACTGCTCCTGGCTGTAGTCGTTACTGCTCATAACTTGGTAGTAGGCATTGATGGATGCTGCCGATTCGCGGTCCTCCTGTTCCAGTTGAGGGTAGCCCAGTCCGTTAAAGTTGTAGTAATCGTAGTAGTAGTCATAGTCGTCGTTTATGTCCTTTCNATGGATGCTGCCGATTCGCGGTCCTCCTGTTCCAGTTGAGGGTAGCCCAGCCCGTTAAAGTTGTAGTAATCGTAGTAGTAGTCATAGTCGTCGTTTATGTCCTTTCGCTTACGTTGCTCTGATTCTGCGAGCTTCTGCTGTCGATCAGAATACAGGCATTTGACTTGCTCTATTGTTCCAGATACCGCTGGGGCTGTCATGTTANCTGTTCCAGTTGAGGGTAGCCCAGTCCGTTAAAGTTGTAGTAATCGTAGTAGTAGTCATAGTCGTCGTTTATGTCCTTTCGCTTACGTTGCCCTGATTCTGCGAGCTTCTGCTGTCGATCAGAATACAGACATTTGACTTGCTCTATTGTTCCAGATACCGCTGGGGCTGTCATGTTGGAATTTAAGTTGGAGCTGATTGGTCGAAAACATAATCCACATTTGCACGATGCTAACTCATTCATGTCATTTTCCTCAGTACGTTTTTTACGTTTAGAAATTCTCTTTTTCAATTTTTTTGCTTTTTTAGGCTTGATGCTGAAAGAAATGTGTAGACTTTTATCAACTATTCTGTTTAGATTACTTTTTAGTTTTGCCATCTTTTTCTCAAATACATCTTCGTTTTCTAAAACTGTATCGCTCAAACTTGAGCTTGATCTGCTGGAAGAATGGGAGTCAGAGTCGGAGTCAGAAGTTTCAGAATGGGATGAACGAGAGTATGAAGATAGCGAGGATGAAGACGAAGATGCAGTACTCCTAGACGATGAAGAGTCAGAGTCAGAGTCAGAGTCAGATGATGAAGAGCGAGAGTCAGATGAAGAAGACCGAGAGTTTGATGAGGAACGAGAACTCGAAGAAGTTGACGATGAAGAAGAGGAGGAGGAGGAGGAGGAAGAAGATGATGNAGAGTCAGAGTCAGATGATGAAGAGCGAGAGTCAGATGAAGAAGACCGAGAGTTTGATGAGGAACGAGAACTCGAAGAAGTTGACGATGAAGAGGAGGAGGAGGAGGAGGAGGAGGAGGAAGATGATGATGATGATGAACGCCGACTTTTTTCTAATTTTGACGATTTTTCATCTTCCTCTTTGGGTATACTTTCTTTATCCACACTTTCCTTTTTCTCCACAACTTCGACGCCATTCTTTACCTTTTTCATCTCTTTCGTAGAACTGCTTTCATTGTCAGATGTTTGTTCGTCATTAACTTCCTCATCAGAGTATAAAGCGAGTGGAGGCTGCAATAACTTTGGCCTGATACTTTTTGCCAAAGGCACAGTTTTGCTGTTCAAATTCGATGAGACTTTTTCGCTGGATTTGGGCAAACTATTCTGACCAACCAAACGGAAAGTATTGAATGTATTCACAAAACCGCGCATCTGTAATGGTTTTGGTTCCTCAGGTTTAACTTCTTCAGTCCAGTTTAAGGTAGTCTGAACTGGTAAACTTTCTGATGGTTGATCTGATGCAGTCCAATTCACCTTTTCCTCAAGCATTGCTAAAAATGATTGTGTCGATTGTTTCGCACTGTCTTTTAATTCGGATGGCTTCAATACCTTAACTTCTTCACTTTTGCTTTCACCTTTAATATCAGAATTTGAATCTAGGCTGGAATTGCGACTTTGATGTCGGCTAGTATCACGACTGCTGTCGCGACTTGAATTGCGACTGGAGTTGTGGTCTTTATGACGACTCTTGTCGTTACTATTTTTTCGATCTTCATTTTTATGCTCTTTTGAATTGTGACGAGGTCTACGTTTTTCAGGAGAATCGTCACGACTATGCCTTCTGCTACTGTCTTTTGAGTGTGGAGAAGAGGATTTTTCGGTAATAGTGGGTCGATATCGACCACTGTGCCCGCGAAATCCTGAGTTGAAACGAGCGCGCCCAAATTTTCCACGCTCAAATCGGGAACCACGATCTGAAGAAAATCGAGGATAGTGGCGTGAACTGTGATGAAGACTTTCCGGTTGCCCACCAAATTTTCGCCCGTATGGCTTCCGACGATGATCCTTGTAAACTGGCCGGTGTCCAAAACGGTCAAATGAACGAGACCTNAGGTCTACGTTTTTCAGGAGAATCGTCACGACTATGCCTTCTGCTACTGTCTTTTGAGTGTGGAGAAGAGGATTTTTCGGTAATAGTGGGTCGATATCGACCACTGTGCCCGCGAAATCCTGAGTTGAAACGAGCGCGCCCAAATTTTCCACGCTCAAATCGGGAACCACGATCTGAAGAAAATCGAGGATAGTGGCGTGAACTGTGATGAAGACTTTCCGGTTGCCCACCAAATTTTCGCCCGTATGGCTTCCGACGATGATCCTTGTAAACCTAACGGTGTCCAAAACGGTCAAATGAACGAGACCTTGAACGAGATCGTGAACGAGATCGTGAACGAGATCGAGAATAGGACTTTGAAGTTCGAGATTTTTTATCTCCTGGCTCAGGGCTTGGCCTGCCGAGTGACTCTGCAGATGACGATTGGTATTCCACTTCAGATGAGCTGGAGTGTAGTGAGACATCGGAATCGTTTGAACCTATTGAGAGAAAGTAAATAAAAACTTTTGAATAAAATGTACAACTTGAAAAGCAAACAGTCGATACAATAGTCTTCAAAGTAAATAACTGGAATTTAGTGCCAATTAGCAGTTATACGTTGAAGCGTGCATATTGACAGAGTTGCCATCAAAACTTTGAACTTGCTTGTCACGGAATGCAGCAGAATGCTGAAAGGACAAGGGCAAGCCTGAATTGCACCGACTAACAGTCAACAATAGCTCAATGCCAGTGAGCAAACAGTGGCCTTTTAATGAATAATAATTGGCAAAACAAATTAATCGATCACCAGTTATTGGCAGTTCCGGGACTAACCTTTGTCTGAATCGTCGTCATTATTCTCAGCATCACCAGCAGGGCTGTCTTCTTCAGTGGACTTGCCCATTTTCTTTTTCGGCTTCAGAAGGGAGGCGCCGCTTTTTAAGCGGAAGATTAAGACAAAATAACAGTTTTAAAAGGGTGAAATATTCAAAAGAAAAGAAAAACAAAAATCACAAAATGCAAAAAAGTAAACATAGAAAAATTAAAAAGAAACCCTCATGAGGCACGGCAGACCGACCACAAACGACGTTCAATATGTCGTTCAAATTCAAACGCAAATCAGCTTCTACAGGTTTCGGCAATGTCGACATTTAAAACAAATCAACTGTCAAGGAAACAATCATTGTTTCAAATAGATTTTTTGAAAAAGTATATTGGAAACGAGCCATGTCGAACATGTGACACAGAAAGCAAGGGTGGTCGATGGAAGAGGAAACGTGCTGGCGAAAAAACACTATGGGAACACACTTTACCGTCTTGTTGACACAGGTAAGTAAGCAAGAACTCCTTTAAGATGTAGTGCAAAGTAAGGCGTCTAGGTGACGGTGCCAAGACAAGTCAAAGGCGCCTGTCACCAGCTGACGAGTGACAGGTGAAGACGACACGCTTGCGTCAAGTGCCCGGCGGTGACACAAATCTTGACGCTATATACGCCTTCCCCAGGACAGAGCTGAAGAGATGTGACGCCAGGGAAGACGGTGAATGGAAGAAGGTACTGCCTTGAACGGTACTGCTCCAACTCCTAAAGACGCACACTTGTCACTGTCTTGAACACCGAGTCTAAAGACTATTGACTGGCGGGGAGAAAGTACTCACTTGGAAAGAAAGTGAGGAGTGAAAAGTCAATGAAAGTTGTCAGTGTGTCATTGGGTGAGTGAGTGAGTGGCACGTAGAGAAGAGCACACCCGGTGTGTCTCTATCTGGCGAGCAGGTTGGTCGGCGGGCAATATCGATTGGACGGCAGTGTCACACGCTTGTCTTTAGTTGCCAGTGAAGTGGAGTGGAGTGCCGGGAACCAGCGCCGACTGAACGACGACGACCAGCTACGGTGGCCAGAAAAAGAAACCGTACGGTAGTGCGACGAGGACAACAGAGAACGCATTTGAAAAAGAACACCAAAGAAGAGTGTGAGTGAAAGCGAGAGAATAGGCAGTGGGGGAGCTAAAGCCAAGGCAAATAACTAATAATAATGCAGCGAATAAACGACTAAGAATGCGGGCGTCGTGGCCGCCATCGGCTGCTCACCCAGCTGAGACACACTCTTCGACAGGGGAGGCAAACGCCGTATTTTCACAGAAAAAAAGAGCGGTCTTCACAATCGCACTGAGGACTTGTCTTTTTGCTGCTTCCACTCAATTGCACCAAAGCTGACTACTCTACCTTCCGGTTAATATGGTCAGCTGAGAGAGAGTTTGTGAAACGCCTCCCTCCCTTCATCTTTTCCATCTTTTTCGGTGTCATGGCGCAATCGGTGTTCCTCCCCCTGACAGCCCTTTTCATCTCCCTGGCATCACTGTACCTCGCCACGCCAGTCGCCGGCAAGTGGAATCACGACCGAGTTGGGTAAGCGAACACACTTCTCCTTATCATCCTTTCACTCACCAGCTTACCCTCACAGGAAGTACCTGGACAACATGACCGACCGACAGGTGCTGGAGCGTCTTCTGGTGCCCGACAAGTACGACTCTAACATGCGTCCTGAAGGTTAGTTGGTCAGTGTGTCAGCTCGCCCATGAGAGAACTTTCATTCTTCTTCTTTTGCACTTCTTGAGCCACAGCCAAAACGCAAGTCAACGTGAGCATGCTAATCCTCAGTCTGGCATCACCGGACGAATCCAGTGTCACCTACGAGGTGGGCTTTGTCCTCTTCATGACCTGGGTCGATCGGCGGTTGCAGTTCAAAGTGCCCGACGTTCAGAAGGACTTTGCCTACTTGAATGCACTGAGTCACGCTGATAAAATCTGGCGGCCTGATGCGTACTTCATTAAACACGGAGAGTTCAAGAAGTCCACCGATCAGTACGACCCACAGCTGTTTGGGCTGAAGATCTACAGCAACGGCACCGTCCTCTACACCACCCGACGCAATATGATCATCAACTGCGAGGGCAACCTGCGCATCTTTCCCTTTGACAGTCCCAAGTGCTTCTTTGGCATTGAATCGGGTGAGTGAACAGACAGAATACATTTGCTTTTGTTGCTTATTAAACTTCCTTCTGCTGTTAGTCTCTCTGGAGAAGGACCAGCTGGAGTTGCAGTGGAGCACCGAGGCACTGCGACCCTTCCACGCCATCAAAACCATCAACGCCTACCTGCTTCGCAATCAGACGAATCGCTGCAACAAACGGCACACCTGGCGGAAGGACTACTCCTGTCTCAGTGTGCTGCTCATTTTCTCGCGAGACCTCTCCTTCTACTTCACCACCGTTTTTGTGCCTGGAATGGTCCTCGTGACCAGTTCCTTCATCAGCTTCTGGTTGGACGTTAATGCTGTGCCGGCTCGGGTGATGATTTCCATCTTTTCAAGTTGTACATTTTATTCAAACGTTTTTATTTACTTTCTCAAAAAAGGTGATGATTTCCATGACGACTATGCTCAGCTACTGCACGACAACCAATAGCTTTCGCTCCAAATTGCCAGTTGTTTCAGGTATTCTTCATTACAACAAATTTATTAAACTGATCTACTCTTTCTATATTCTAGACTTATACGCGCTCAACCTTTTTGATTACGTTTCTTTGGTTTGTACTACCCATTTTGGCCTGTTTATTTATGGTAACTAATGAAAATTCCTCACTCGTAGTTTTTCATCTACGCCTCGATGATTGAGTTTATCGTCGTCAATTACATCTACCGCCACGGCCCGAGCAGCTCCAGAGGCGCCGCAGTGGTCAGTCGGCAAAGTCTCTCCTCACAGGGCGCAGAAGGCGGTTACACCTTCAGCAGAAAGGTACATACACTTTCGGTGGTACTGTTCCCATTACTGACCATTCTGCTGACTGCAGAGCTGTCGTCGCAGCACCAAACACGACCTGACACTGGACTTTCAGGGCGTCCAGAGCAGACCAGAGCGAGTCCTGCAGCCACTGAAGGCGACACTCTCCGGAACGGGAGAGAGCGTCTTCAGCGCCGCCACCTCCGAGCTTCGCGTGGACCGAAAGTCAGTGGCCTCGGGCAACCACTGCCACCCCCAGTCCGCACCACTGAGCAGTCCACTCTCCGGGGGTGGGGGTGGGCACAACAATGGCGGCGGTGGCAGTGAGAGGGGCCCCGAGGAGACCCACGGGGGTCGTGAGAGCAGTCTGCAGGAGGCGGAAGAGGAGGGCGAGGAGGTGATGAGCATGTGGCAGATGCGCAACTTCTTCGACTGGCTCCGTCGGCCGTACCTGATCGCGCCCGAGCACGCCACCAGCAATGTTCAGCTGGCACGCACCATCGACCACGTCTCCAAGACGGCCTTCACCCTCCTCTTTGCCCTCTTCGCCTTCTTCTACTTCCTCACCTATGCCTTCATTAAGGTGAGTGTGTCCAGGGTGATGAGGAGGCTGTGTGCGGGCTCGCAGTGGGCCACCGCTCTTCCATCACTTCCCATGCGCGCAGGCGCCTGCCCTGCCACTGAACCAAAACGGGCGCAGGAAATCCGGTCGATGGCTGCAGTGCCAGTTTTTCCTCTTTGCCAACGGAAAAAACTCATCCTATGTTTGTATCTCCCCTCTCTTTTAGCCGTCCAACTTGGAGGACTGGATTGAAAATGTAAGAGACCGTAGAAGCCAGCAGAATCACTGCTTTGAATTTTGCTCATTACTACTTTTCCTATGCCATCACAGGAGTTCGAGGCCATCGACTGAGAACGACGACACCGCTCCTCAAAGCGGCAGCCAGCAGTGAGGAAGCGAGGGAGAGAGAGAAAGAGAGAGAGGGGACAGCCAAACGGGCTGCACCCCGCCTTCTTCATTTCCGAATCGCTGCGTCGTGCGCGTATGTGTAGCAGTGCTGCAGCAGCAATAAAAAGAAAGCTAAAAGGCCGCCGGTGGTGACGGCTGACGACATTTCCGCCTGCGACTACCACCACTGCCGCCACCGCCATCATCAGCAACTGCAGCAGCAGCAGAAGTGAGTGAGACAGTGTGGAAAGGAGCGCTCGTGAGCACTTGCGAGGACTGGGCGCTATCCGCATAGAGGAAGTGGTAGTGGCACTGCCGACGCACTGATCGGAAAGGAGGAAAGTAGTGCCTTCTGTCGCTGCTGGGAAGTTGTGTCGGTCTTCGCAGCCTGCACTGTCCTCCAGCGCCGTGTGTCCACCACCAGCAGCATCGAGCAGCGGCAGCAGCCCGTCATAGACAGCGTTCTCCTTGTTCCTGCTCAAACTCCGCCCACCCCAAACCCAGACAGACCAAAGAGTGGGTTTTTACCCTTGTCACCAGAAAAAGTGCAAGATTTACCTTTACAGAGCTGTCCCGGTAACACTGCCAAGGAAAACACTTGCCTTGGTTTGGCGGCCAGAACCAAACACTTTGCGAAACTGAGCGATAACAGTGCACGCTTGAGGCGGGCCTTCGACTTGCTTGTTTCGGCCACTTGCCCCCTTACGACAAAGTGTCCTCAGGTCGTTCCTTGTTAGTTTTGCGTTTCCGGACAGATAGTCCAGATTCTGGTCTTCCTCTTCCTCCTCATTCGGCGCCCGCAGCTGCTCTAAACTTCAACCAGAGCGGCCTTGAGCTGCAGCAGCGCTGACAGAAGATCTGCCGAGAAGACGTTAACACTTTCCCGTAAAACGACAAATTTCCGCCCATTAATCTGCTCACTTCCAGTTCCATCTGGACAGGTTGAGGAATTCTACCAACAGGTTGGTGTCATCGGTCCTCATCCAAGCTATCTGATCGGCCATATCAGGTTGTCAAGTTGTGGTATATCCCGATATTGGCTTCCAACGGCAAACAACGTCAGTGAGAGTCGCTGGCAAGTGTAAACATTGTCTGAGAACTGGTTAGTATAAACACACGACAGTGAACGTAATTCAAATCACCGTGTTTACTGGCCCAGCTAATCGTACTTTTTCCTGCTCAATGTTTTTATTTACCTGTGACCCTAGGTAAAATGTGAAGCAGCATGAACATCTTACGTCAACCAAAGATGGAAATGGACATGGACATGTCGGAGACGTACCAGGCCACTGCTTCCATTCAACTACGAACACATCCAACTCATTCCACCATCAACTTCAGTGAACTGGGCAAAAAGTTGCTCGAGTCGGCTCGCAATGGCGACGTCGAGGACGTAATGGAGCTGATCAGCACCGGCGCCCCCTTCACCACCGACTGGTTAGGCGCCTCGCCGTTGCATTACGCCTCACAGTATGGACACGTGGATACGGTGGAAACACTGCTAAATGCGGGCATTGCCAAGGATGCTCGCACCAAAATTGAGCGAACTGCCCTTCACGTGGCTGCCCAGGAGGGCCACTACGACACTGTCAAGGTGCTGGTCAACTTTGGAGCTGATGTCGACTCAAAGGACATGCTTCGAATGACGCCACTTCACTGGGCCGTCCAGCGAGGACATCGAGCCATCATGGAGCTTCTACTGGACAATGGTGCTGATGCCTCCGGTGTCAACAAGTTTGACAAGACGCCCATTGATATTGCCTACGACTGTGGATACCACGACTTTGTGCCTTCTCTTCAGGTATGTTTTGCTCCTTCGCGTTTTACTCACTGAAATAACCTGCGTTTCTTTTTTTTTCTCCAGAATTCACGTGGTAGATCAAAGCCAAAAATTAATCCAATTGAAGCTCAACTTTCTTCCAAAGCCCTAAAAAATCCTGCCAATAACAAGAATAGAGTCAGCAAACCGCCTCCAATGAATCGGAATAGCTTTGGTAATGCGCCAAGAGCTAACATGAATATCAAACACGAAATAGATGACGATATGAAACTTGAACATGACAGCAGCATCAGGTCTTTAGAGTACCTTGAATCAATGAACAAAACAAATAAGAAAGAAAAGGACATGCTTCAAAATGTACTCTCCAATGGCCAGACCATCTCACTGACTGAGGCTGGAAAGCTAGTGCTGAACAACTACAAAGAGCCGCCCCAGCAAGGCCCTTCAGGCGTCAACAGCAGTAGAGCGAATAAGCTGATCACCGTCTACCCTTCATCACAGTCAAACATTCTACTACTATCTAACAGCCAGAACAGCACAAACTCGAGTATCAAAGTGGAGCCGGGCACTTCGCCTATTAAGGTAGTCACCAAGAAGCCCATGTTTACGGAGATCAAGACGACCAATGGCAAGCCCATTCCAGTTAATAAGCTGCCTTTCACTTTTCAATCTAAACCTGGTTCGAACCAAGTAATCAAACGTTACGTGCTCACAAATACACCCGCCACGGTGCAGCAGGCTAAAGACGAGGAAATTAAAAAGCTCAATGAAGAGTTGAAGGCGCTCAGAAAGGAGGTGGGCGACTACAAGGAGCTAATTATCGCTAAGGACCTGGAGATTGAGAAGCTGAAAAAGAAAATAGCCACCAGCAATACTACTGAGTTCACCTTCGACTGAGCTTCAGGAGTCATCGTTTCAGCAATCTAGGTAAAAGCTAGCCTCAAGAAGACGCCCACCTGTACATATAGTGATCGCTTCATTTGTTCACTGTAAATTATCCGACTGTTCACTGTTTTTTTCACTGTTCCCCTGAACTTTATCATCACCGATTCTGATGTATCATTTTATTTTTGTTGTATCTCACGCTGAATGAGTTGCCTTTGCTTTAGTACCACTGTAAAGGAGTGCTTTCTGGCTGTTATTTTATTTTTCTATACTAACTGAAGCAATTAAAGCACTTCCTATTATGCTCTTAGTTTGCGGCCGCTCATTGCATGTAAAGTGTGCTTGATATCAAGCCCAGAGTGATATAATATTATCCGCACCTAAAATAACGCACATTGCCCCTTCTGCTGCTTCCACTGCAGTGTTGCCTCCATCAGACAAGCATGTGCGCACATGGTAGCACATGGGAACTGCGGAGATTGAGTGAGTGTGTAGGCAAGAGTGAGGCACAGTGAGAGAAAGAGAGGACAGTGAATGTGAGAATCTCCCTCAACTGCCATCACCAAGAGCAGTGGCAACTGCAGCGACCACATTTCTCTTCAGCCGCAGCACTCTTTGCTTTCTTTGTGGTTGTGTCGCACGCGGCGCGATGTGCACCGACCGATAGCGCCCACTGATTGCACTCGGCGAATGATTTCTACAGACTGGTCCCAGTGGACAGCATCAACAGAGACAACAACAACAACAACACAGCTGACAACAACGGTACTCATTACCGCAGAGATTACAAAGTGATAAGGAGTGTGCTTGCTGGTCAATCTGGTCCACAGCACACCCTGCACATGCTGCCTTCACTCACCACAGTGCCACCATAATCTTTGTTACTTTTTTCAGTATCAACTCTAACTTTGTTTTCAAGTGTAGTCCTGATATTATCAGTCTTGAGCTCATCTTTCCACTCTACTGTAAGCAGCATTGCCACCTCTTCGATGCATATGAGCGCACAGCAGTACCGGAGTGAATCGACTCAATCAGCGGAGATGTCACAGAATGGAAGCAGCACCTCTTCGGTCGTGAGACCGGCCATCGAGCGGGGTGCATCCTGGAGCTACGGGGAAACAAAGATACTGCTTGCCCTGTGGACGCAGGACATTGTCCAACGACATCTGACCAATTCAAAGAGAACACGCCATGTCTGGCAGAAGATTGCAGAACGCATTCGAGAGAACGGTTACGACCGTACTGCAGGTGAGTTTGTTTGCCATACCTACACTGAATTTTATCCTATTCAGCCTGATCTAAATTCACCCCTTTTTACAGATCAAGTTCGAACAAGAGTGTTCAACATGATCGCCGAGTACCGGCGAATAATGAAGAACCCAACACCGGAGCGGCGGAAGAAGTGCATCTTCTTTGATGCGCTGCATCGCATCTATCAGGCAAAGAATGCCAACGGTCTGGAGAACTCGAGTTTCAGTGATTTTGGCGATCAATATCAACTGGACCCAATGGACTTTTCTAATGCCGAAGAGAATGGCGATAATGATGATGAAAATGAAAATAGCGATGAAGACCGGAATGAGCTGTTTGCCTACTCAATGTCGCCCACTAGCTTCAATGGCAACAACAGCATTGGTTAGTTTTTAGCCTTTACTTTCTGTTCTACATTTGGCTCACCACGCTTTTTGTTTTTCCCTTTTTTCATGCAGACTCTGCAGATGACCACTCTGAAGGTATCGTTAGCTTGTACCCTTGCTGTTGTTGTATATTTTGTCCGCTTCACTAACGTCTCTATTGTCTCTTTCAGAGATGGCCTTACCATCACTTCCACCAAAACGGAGTCGTCTTGATGGTCGGCAGTATGTGAACAGCATTGATCAGCCCAGCCACAATTATCATCCTCCTCAACTGACATCCTCGGCGGCTACCACCTCGGCCACGAATGCGCCCTCTGAACAGTCGTCTGCCTTTCAGGTGCTCGTCGATCGAATGTTTGCCCACCTCTCGCGAGAAACCGAGGTGATGCGTGAGTGGGTGAACCTCGAACGTGACCGCCTAGCCCAGGAGATTGCTCGCCGCGCGGAGGAGAAGGAGAGAGAGGAACGTCGGGAGAAGGCCTTTCTCGAAGCTCTCACCAAACTGCAAGATCAGGTGTTTACCTTCCTCGACAAACAGCAATCGTCCACCACCGCCCAACAACAGCCACTGAGCACAGCAGCAGTTTCAGCAGCAGAAGCCCTCTCCTCTTCCACCACCACCACAACGCAGCAGCCGTCATCATCAGCTTCTTCTTCTTCCTCGTCATCGACGACGAGTACGCCGGTGATCATCAGCACTACAGAGAGCCAGCCATAGCAAGACAAAAGTACACTTTTCCCTGAGCAGCAGCAGCAGTAATGCTGTCGAACAGCAAAAAGCGCAATAACATCTTCACAGCACAGTGACGACTCCTCTGAGTCACTGTGATGCGGCACTTTACCTCATTTAATATTTAGCCTTCCTCCTTTATCACTCCTGCCTCCCTTTTCTTCTTTGAACACTTTTTTTGGCTGTGACCGTTTCCTCTATGCCTACTTAAGTTCCATGGTACGTTTTTTTGTTTGCTCACTCAAACTTTCCTGACCCTGTTGATCTGATACACTCTTTTTGGGATTTTTTGGGATTAAAGTCCACACTGCAGCTTAATTGTATTCTTTTGCCAGCTACTCAGCAATGCCTACTTTGTGCGGCAGATTATCACTAAACTCGCACACACACAAACAGACACAGCATCACCTCATTGTGCACTCGAATAAAAGATGAGATATTTTAATATTTATTCGCACACTGCAGCAGTGTTAATGTTCTCACGTCTGCACTCATTACGGCATCCTTTTTCGGCACTTCCGTTGCTGCGACTTTTTTGCTGCAAATGGCACTGCAGACTTGAGGCACTCAATTACCGGTCAATCAGTGAGGCAAATGCCAGAAAAGAAAGCTAGTGGGCACCATCTCTGAGTGGAGGCCAGGACAGTTCAGCCAGTCACTCACTCACTCACTCATTCATTAATTCACTCAACAGTTCAGCAGTTCAACAGTTGCTGGCAAGATGTTCATGCGGTGATTGTGCCGCCAGCGATAGCGGCGTGCTCCCCACAAGAAGTATTCTTGTGTGCCTCGTCTCGTCTCGCCTCGCCTGAAGAACAACAACAAAATGGGTTCCACTCCTCCCGATTTCCTAATTTGGAAACTTCCCCATTTGCTCTTGGCGCCCGGCGTCTTTCTTTTCTCTCGTTCTCTCTCTCCTTGTTGAATTCGAGCCAAGTAGTGTGTCAGTGCAGTCAAAGTGAGCGAGAGAGAGAGAGAGAGAGAGAGAGAGAGAGAGAGCAAAAGCATCGGGAGCCCAGCGGTAGAGCAGCAGTCTGACAATGTTTTCGCGCCTGTTCTCGTGCCAACTTGCTTAGTCAAACAAGCACGCGAGAGAGCTTTGCTCTTCAGTTGGCCTCTTGACGCCAGCCTGCGAATAGCTCACCACCATCCTCCTCCTCATCCTCACTGTTCCACCTCAATTCATACGGTCCAAAGGCCAGCTTTTTTGCAGTTCGACAGCAGAATTCTGCCTCCTGCGTGCACTTCTCGTTCGAACACTATTGCCTCGTTTCAGGGCACCACTGCCATTCACTGGAGCATCATCGTCCGTCTGCGCGCGCCAGTCACTGTTGCAATTCAGCATTGTGATTCAGTACTGTGAAGGGTGCCCCGTTGCCATCCTGTCCTGTGTCTGTGTTGTCATCAGTGAGCACACTGTCGACTACTGTCGACCACGACCACCGCCGACATGACGTTAACCAGTTCGTGTTTACATCCCTGCAACGGCGACGCTAAAATGGCGCCCAGAGAGCGCTACGAGGACGACACTGAGGTCAATCTGGCCGATCGGGGCATTGATTCATTCAACAAGGTCAACTACATCTGTACGGATTTCTCTGAGCGACAGCCACAGTAACCACTTTCCACTGACCACTTTCTTTCTCCCCTTCACTTCTGACAGTTAATCTAAGCAACATCCGAGTGCTCACTTTGAGCCACAACAAGATCAAAAGTAATGTGTTGACTGTTTTTTTAATCACCTACCCCCTTCAATAACTGNGTGCTCACTTTGAGCCACAACAAGATCAAAAGTAATGTGTTGACTGTTTTTTTAATCACCTACCCCCTTCAATAGCTGTTTCTTTTTTTGAAGGTATTCCAAATGAAATTGACAAACTGTACAATCTTGAGCGCTTGAACTTCTTCAACAACTTTGTCTCTGAACTGCCTAGCTCGTTGTGCAGTCTTTCTAAGCTGAGATATCTCAACGCTGGGTACGTTCAATAATTTAATAATGTGAAGAAGACAATGATTTAATACTTTTGAGCACTTCAAATAGCATGAACAACCTGCACTCGTTGCCGCCTGGAATGCACCATCTCCAACTGCTTGAGGTTCTTGATTTGTCGTACAACTTTCTAGATGAGAACTCCTTTCCGCACAACTTTTTCACCTTTGGTAATTGATAAATTGTCAATATCTTAATCAAAAAATTTATTTCTCTGTTGTTCTGCAGAAAACCTAAAAGCACTGTACTTGTCAGACAATGAACTGGAGATTGTACCTGCGGAGATTCGCGGCCTGTCAAGTCTACAAATTGTACGTTTTCCGATTCAACACCATTTACTCACTCTCATCTTTATTCTAGCTGACCCTTCGTGACAACAACCTAATATCACTGCCTGCGGAGATTGGCCTTCTGCACCGACTGCGAGAGCTGCTCATTCAGAATAACCGCCTGCGGATGTTGCCTTCAGAGCTGAGCAACTTTGACATTAGCTCCCAGCGAAGTACTCTTCGCATGGAGGGCAACCCTCTGGACCAGGACCTAGCTGACCAGCTTAAACTGGGCGTCTCACACGTTCTCGACTACATTCGCTCTGACATTTACCAGGCGTTAGTACTTTTCTTTTACATGTTTCAGTTATTGCACCAAATATTGCATCAGCAGCAGTGCTCGCGTTGCCGCCGCCACCCAGTCAGTGAGGGACTAACCGACACATTCTTTTTATTCCACTCTCCCATTCTCTCATTCCTTTCAGACGCTATATACGCAACATGCTGGAGAAGAGCACCATCTCACAGCCACCGCCAAAGAATGAAGATCGAAAGAACCGAAAGCTGCTCAGACTGAAGGGCAAATAGTGACCAAATCTGCTGAGCTGACCATGCCGCACACCTGCCTAGCTATCTTTAGTCGTTCATTGTTGCACCACTTTTACTTACCTGTTTTTGATTAATGCTAATGTTGCCAAAAAAATGTTCCTTCTAACTTAATTAGTTAAAGTACAAGTCACTTTTCGAACAAGAATTCAGGTTGACTTATTTGATTCAGTGTAAAAGAGAAGTGATTAGTCATTTAAATTTTTTTTTTCAAAAAATGTACAAACTGTTTGATTGGAAAACGGTACTCTTCTGGCACACCTACTATGGCTATTGGATATACTTACGCGTCAAGAATGGCCGTCCTGGAGAAATTGTGATGGAAGAAGATGATGTCGCGATTCTTGCTATCGATACAAACAAGACATCTCTCAGCAACAACAAAACCGTAGAAGAGAAGGGCACTGTGGAAAGTGCAAAGCCTATGGTGGAAAACATCCTAAGCATGAACCAAAGCAAGGTTATTGAGCTGACCGCTGAGAATCAACACGAGTCCCTCGTCATTGCCGTGCCAACTGTTGAAAGTGAGCAAGTGGAGCAACTAGTTGAACCAGTAGTCATTGAGGAGTTTGAGGAATTGTGCTCTGTGCCCACTGACTTGAAATCACTTCTACAGAAGGTCTCATACGACATTGAAGAAGTGCTAAAAAATGTTTAGTTTTAAGGTAATTATAAAAATTATTCTTTTTTTCTAAAACTTCGAACTTTTGCAAGTTAGTATTTAAGAGACGATTTAAAAATTATTTGCCAAAGTTGCTTGAATATTTGTTTGATAAAAGAGCTATCTACTTAAAATGCCATCCGACGGTGCTTTGGTGGTCAGAGCTCTGGGATACTGGGCGGGATGGCTGTACTTTGCTCGTCGATTCGGTTGGCCACCGCCTGATGATAAGAGCAAGAGCAAAGCAGCTGGCGGCGGAAAGAAGCAGCCCGACAAAGGGACAAAGGCTCCAGCTCCAGCCAAGGAAGCGCCCAAAGCTGCTGCTCCTGCTAAAGACGCGCCCAAAGCAGCTGCTCCAGCTAAAGCGGTCCCAGCAAAGGCTGCTCCATCGAAGGCTGCCGACTCCAAGGGAGATGGCAACAAGAAGACAGCAGACACTGGTGGAGATGTTCCCCCGAAAGCCACACCTGCCCCGGTGGAGCCAGTGGGCAAGCAAGCGGAAAGCACTGCCAGTGCCACCGCCCCCACTACCTCATTTTGGAGTCTTTTTGATTCCCCAGGTACCGCCAAGTCCACTTCCAAGGACTGGCCCAAAGAGACTGGTCTGCACGAGTGGAAAGGCGAAGGCGCAAACGGCGGAAGCGCCGACAAAACACTGCCAAGCAAGTGACATATTGCAGCAACTGCAAGGCAACCATTGGTTGGCCTTTGATTGTCATTTTAATAAGCATTGTATTTGTGTGTGTGCTTCCTTTTGATGTGATCTAATAAAATGCGAAGCACACATTTACTTTTCTTTGAGTTGATCAGTTCTTTTTTGTTCTACTCAGCTCAAATGCGGTCATTTCAAACTGCCGTGCAGCACGTAGTTTCCGAACGGCAAACTCGCTCGCCTCGCTGCTGCGATTTGCTGTCAGTCGCCAAAAGAAGAGACGTGTACGAAGAGGAGCCAGCCGACAGGCAAATCCGTCAAACAGACACAGTTTCCCGGCTGATTGTTTGTATCCATCACGGACACTTGACTCGTCGATTCACCGTCCACCGCTCCAAATTTCAACTGATTCGCACACTTCTGGAAGCCAAAAAGAATGGGTGTTTTAGATGCTCTAGGCTTGGGAGAGGTCTCCCGCATGAGCAAGCGACAGGTAAGCAACTTTGGTGTTGTAACTTTTTGTTGACGCAGGCAGTGATTCCTTTTCATCACTAGATTCTCTACCAATTTCTCAATTTTGGTATGATCGTCTCCTCAGCTTTGATGATCTGGAAAGGCCTGATGGTGGCTACTGGCAGTGAGTCGCCCATTGTCGTCGTTCTCAGGTTCGTTTGCTTTTCGCAACACGTTGACTTTTGAGCCGATTGCTTATGATGACGTATCTTTTACAGTGGCTCTATGGAACCTGCTTTCCACCGTGGTGATTTGCTGTTTTTGACAAACTACAAGGAAGATCCCATTCGCGTCGGCGACATTGTTGTCTTTAAAATCAAAGGCCGCGACATTCCAATCGTCCATCGCGTTTTGAAGCTTCACGAAAAGTATGTTTCTGAGAGGCAACTGTTTGCATAGATTTTACAACTCCTTTCTTAGGGATGACGGCTCAGTGAAGATTCTCACTAAAGGCGACAACAACTCGGTGGATGACAGAGGCCTTTATGCTCCTGGACAACTGTGGCTTGAGAAGAAAGACATCGTTGGCCGAACCAGAGGGTAACTTATTTCAATAAAACACTAATGAAACCTTGTTCTAACCAAAACATTTTAGATTTGTCCCGTACGTCGGCATAGTCACTATACTAATGAATGATTATCCAAAGTTCAAGGTAAAGATTGCATCTTTTGCGTGGTCATTTCTAACTAAAGTTTTTATTCACTTAGTACGCGGTCTTGGGCGTTTTGGCACTCTTTGTGCTTGTTCACCGAGAATAACTTTCTCTTCATCGCTGTAATTATTTTTATGCATATTCTTACCAACATTTTTTTTCAATTTGTGTTTGTACAATAATTTACCCCAAATAAACACTGGCATTAACTTGCATTTATCAAGCAATATTTATTGATTCAGAGTGGTTCAACTTTAAAGCTAGATGCTACATTTCGTCGAGTGACAGGTCTGCGTGCGATTGGCGTTGACTTGAGAACAATCTCCTTCATTGTCTTGGAAGGCTTGCTAACAACTTTGCTGACGGTTTGATTGGATTTAGTATCAGCCTTTATCGGTTTGCTCAGTCCAGTGGGTCGATTAGCGATGACACATTTGAATGTGATGCCCTTTTCGGCTAGTTTCTTTTCCATTGTGTGCACTCGCTTCAATCGGCTGACCATTAGTTTGTACTCCTTAGAATCAGTTTTGCTACGATTGTGAATGACCTTGTGAGTTTTGACCGTGCTAACAAATGGTCGATTCCAGTTCTGAAAGAGGTTTTTTGGAATTTTCTCCTCAGGTAGCAGTGTGCACTTAATGATGTGATCAAACATAAGATAGTTGTTCATTGTGTCGGCAGCAATTTTAGCGACATCTTCAAACTGAAACTCAATAAAACCGTAGTTTTTGGGGTTTCCGGTCTGTAAAAAAGGAGAAATATAAAGTAGTCATATTTGGCAAACAAGTTTAATCAAGTACCTTTTTGCTTCGAGCAATTTTGAGACGAGTGACTTCGCCAAACTGAGAAAAGTACTGAAACATTGACTTCTCATAAAATCCATGTGGAAAATTCTTGATCATAACAACGCCTTTTTTCGATTGGTTACCAGAACTTGAGATCTTTAAATTAAGAAACATTTTAAAAAAGAAATCACTAAAAATATAGAAAGTACTTACGCTTTTTCCTTTGCCATTCTGGACTCCGCGTTTCCTCTTTGGAGCAACTTTCTGTTGTTGGTCGGATTTTGTTGATTCTTCACCAATCGCAGGCACATCCTTTTTGGCCAATTTAGCATCAACAAGTGCCGATTTTAATTGAGCCAAAGATTTGTTCAAGCTAAACATGGTGACAATAAAAAGTTTTAGTGGTGTTGGGAAAAAACAAGACAAAACACAGGTGATTTTTGCTGCAGCGGCTGCTGATTTGACCACGTGCTGGAGACTATTACCACAGAGGCATTTTTGCAGCAGTAGCCAGACAGTTGGCCGAACAGACAGGCGGGCGAAACTGGTAACCTGC